TACTTCTTGTTTTTTCTCTCGCAACAATCAATATTCTCGATTGTTTACCATCGATGTTTGATTTCTTGAGAAAATCAGTTATTCACATGTTAATGATTACTAATATGAATCGTTAATTAATCAATAACTAACTTGGTTTTAATTTTGCATCATAGTGACTAGCAGTGGAATAATCCAAGATGTGTATTTCGTCCTGTTTGGGACTCATCCTCCCCCCCCCACTGAGGCTCGAACCCAGTGCCCATAGTTTCAAACGCCAAAAACCACTTGGGCCACGAGAGCCACTGCCTCTTATGCAATGGGTCTTATTAATTATTTAATTCAATTTTAGATTTTCCTATCGATTGATTGGACAGAAGTGATCGGTCTCAAGGTGACATGTCAGCTCCTTGTGCAGATGCTTCCACGATGTGTGCGTGATTTTCAGTTACACTACATAGTTCATCAGTTCTCCTTTAATAGTTTTGCGTTTAAGCTTCTATTTTTAATGTCTGGTGAACATTCTTCCTATTAGGGATACAACCTTGGGGGGGGGCAATAAACGTACCACACAAGTTAATAATAACAAAACAGACATAGAGGGAAGATCCCACTAATCAAACAATCCATAACACAACGATGCTATGCCGTCGGCTAATTACCTTCCCACTACTTTAAACTAGTGAACACAATGGAAGCCTACGGGAGGAGGACAATGGCAACAAATGTCCAAGGAACCGACCAAATAATAATGCTTACTGTAAAGCTATTTTCTTATCCAGATAGGCGTCAATAAAATTTAGAATTACTTTTATATGCTGGTTTTTCAAGTTTGATCACGGATTGATATCAGTTAGAGAACCATTGGACAGTTGTTTCGCCCTAATTTGGAGCTCATCATCAGTACCCATCCACCAGGTTTCGAACCCAAGACCTTTCGGTTACAAGGCAAGCTATCTCGTAGAGCATTCAGCCACTGGGATCCAACTCAATGGCCACAGCTGATGAATTCTAACTTCTACCAATTCGTGATTTTAGTCGATGAGTCCCAAACTAGGACGAAATAGCTGTCTAGTACTTGCTAGCTGGTTTTCAATGGTTCTCTAACTGATATCAATCCGTAATCAAAATCTTAAAACATATTAACTCTTGAAAATATATGCTGGTTCCTAATCGATGTAATCGAATCCTATAAAGAGACAGTAATGATCAAATACACTAAATATCATCAACTCCTTGAAACTCAAATTTCGCAGATGCACAGAGAGATTGCATTCATTACAGGGCTCTGTAAACCCAAACTCTTAAACTTAAATTTAAACATCACAGCAGTTTCGCCACAGTTGTTTATTCACTGATGTAACCCATTCCGATTTCCCACACACATTTGTAGAATTCCCCCCCCCCCCCCCTACACACACACTTCCCCTAGCAATGATATGAACTTTCCTACTAGTAGTGAAGGTACACGTCCATCCCAATCTTTCAAAATCACTTAGTACTGGCAACAGTGTAGACATTGATCACTGACACAGTAGTAAGACGATATCTGTAAAGTACAGTCTTCTTCAGGAAGGAGAATTACACAGCCACGGTCCTTGAAAGTTATTTCAAAAGATTTCGCGATGGTAAAATTAAAGAAACAATTTGAGCAAATCTGACTGCTAGTTCGGAAAAGTGGTAAGTGATAAGTGATGACTGCGTAGTATTCTCAGCATCTAATTTGAGAAGCATCTCTTCAACGGCATACAGAGAGAGAGTGTGTGTGTCGATCGATAACCTTAAGTTTTGAATAACAATAGGCAATAAAGATTTACTTTTCAACTTCATTCATCACCCCACTAAATAATAATAATAATCTGTCCAATCAGCGAACAGCTTAACGGCGGTCTGTTTAAATCACTGAGCTACTAGCAGAATTTCAATTCATTAAAATGAGGCTTAAACTCTTCTTCATTTTTGATTGTTTTATTCATGGAACTATAATAGATGATCACTCGCTCAGCTATTCTTGAAGGAAATCAAGAAAGATAATATGATGAAGTGGTTCTTTCTTCATATGCAATCACACTACGTCACACGATATACTTCAGATTATTGCCTTACATGTAAATCCTGTAGGAAAACAAACTTATTTCGGAATTAAATACGCTGAAAATTTTTGTACTATATTGTTCACATATTGTCCGAAATAAAGCTTTATTATTGTTAGTATTAGGAATATTATTGAACACATCTAACTATTTCAACTGTCTAACCCACCTACCCCTCATCAATGAAGTATATTTCCCGCAAAATCTTTCAGTAATACCATAAAGTTATTTAATTCATTGGAGCATTTCATCATGAACTGACATCAGTTAGAGAACCATTGGAAAAACTGCAGGGAGTACTGGACAGCTGTTTCATCAGCCTAGTTTGGGACTGGCTCTTCGGCAGTACGCACCCACCACCATGGTTCGAAACGAGGAACCTCTGGTTACAAGGTTAGTGAGCTCGTAAACCATTAAGCCATTGGAACCCGATCCAACGGCCCATGAATTCTAACTTCTGCCAATTCACAACCACTTCCCAATGTCTTCTCCGATGAGTTACTGTTTCACCTTCAACCGGCTATGCCCTACTCGTCACAGCTTCCCACTAGAACCAAGGTGACTACCTGCCTGAATAGGGTCAGTCGCTCCAAACAATCAAACAAAATCCCTACAAAACAAATACTTGAAAATTTATTTAATTCAATTCGGATTTTACCGTTGAATGATTGGACAGAAGTATTCGGCCTCAGTTTAACATGTTGGCTCGTTGTACGGGCATCCAACAATTGTCGTATTTCTTAACCTGAAAGCGGTATTCTATTCCGTCGACCGAGAAGCACTATGGGGATGTTTAGCTGTGGAGGAAATGCCGACAAAATACATCGCACTAATCATCAAGGCAGTCTACTCGAACTCATGCAGCCAGATAGGTGAGAGCCTACGGAAAATTGTCATCTGAAGTGGTGATAACCAGCGGTGTCTGTCAGAGATGCACACTGTCCCCATTTCTATTCATTTTCATCATAGATATACCAACTGACTTCAGTGACTCGGGGATTGACTTGTTACCATCATGGAATAATCTCGTTGACTCAGAATATACAGATGATATAGTCCTCCCTCCTAGGTGAAGACGCTGACAAAATGCATAGTCTTCTGAACAGATCGAGTTGCAGTCTGCGAATGTTTGTCATGTGATTCGCTCAAGCCAAATGTAAGATGATGCTACAGGACTGGACTATATCAATTACTCCTAGCTTAGAGATAGGTAGTGAAGTGGTAGAGCGTGTTGAACACTTCACTTATTTAGGAAGTTGCATCAGCCAGCGCCAACGGGCTGCTCGCTGACGAAATGTCACCACGGATACAAAAGGCTCGTTTGGCATTCCCCTGCCGACTCACGCTATCTCTCGCTTAGTAGGCGTGATATCCGACTTCCTGGTTGGTTGTCGACCAAAGGACGTGTGTACTGCTCAGAGTCCGCTTTGTCCTCCTTTATGGCTATGAGGCGTGGTCAAAGAAAGTAGAAGACATGAAAAGCCTGGCTAGCTGGCTGTCTTTTATCATAGGTGCCTGCGTTCTGTCTCCCGCATTAGGCTGGGCACTAGTGAGGTTAGGTGTCGGTCGAGTGCTAGATAGGTGGGAGGGAATATCAATCGACGAGTTTGTGAAGTTACATCGATTGAGATGGTTAGGACATTTTTTACGCATGCCTAACCACCGTCCTTGACGATGGGGAATGTTAGCTGACATAGGATCGATCAGGTTGGAAAACAGCTAGTGGTGAGACAAAAACATGTCATCAGTCAATGAAATCTACAACAGTTAGTTTAAACCAGATAAGTAGGGAGATGTAGACTGGCTGGTTGGGTTCCTCAAGATGGTAAAGACCAGTGGCTGGAGACAATCTGTGATATGGCTGAAAATCGTTCTCGATGATGGCGCAGGTGCATTCACTCTTTGTAACTTATCATATCCAATAAAATTCTATTGTTCTTCCATATTACTATTCTTTTTGCCTTATATCTCTCTGTTGAATCTTTCCTTACTCTCTTCCCTGGCTTTGTGTGCTACAAGGAGGGAGTGTGGCAACTCGAACTGCTGTACATCTGTGTAAAGTTCTACGTCGAAAGCAGCCAGTTAGTCCTTGTACGGATGCTTCAACGATGTCTGCATAGGTGACACTAATATACTTTTCTGACTGACATGCTTTCCCTGCTTGCTCATTGAAATCCCCTACTAAAATGACTATATCTGGACATTATACCTTCGACTGCAGACTACACACAGCATTCAATAGAACTCATCCTTTACTTTGTTCGAACTGCAGTCTGTTGTTGGGGGGGTGCGTAAGCAGAGATCATGAAAAGACATCGACAGGTATCACAATCTTTCCCTCTAGTGGATTCGTCCAACCAGACCCATAGAGCACATATACTATGACTCTCCAGTCGGATCCTGTCAAGTGGGGAATTTTGTTTTGCTCTGTAACTCATTGGCATTCGTACAACGCTAAATCCTAGAGAACTAGCCGAATAATTTCCTGATACCTGTTAGGTAAATTTTGCAGATTCACTCTGTCGGCCCCAGGCAGGTAGGGTATAACTTTTGTACGTGATCATCTCCGAAGCCCAACATACATCCATGGTTGAAGATGCCAGAGTTCTGGCAAGTGATTCCTGTTGTCCTAATAGACAAAGGGTCCTGTCCTGATATTGAATGCTCCAATATGAAGCTGATAGCGTGGATTTAAGAGACTATCGGTAGTGTTGTTTTCCAGCTCAGGTCGTTATTAATGGTTGTAGAGTTAAGAGAAGATGAGGGGTCTAGCTAGCTGGCTACCTACCTATAGAATGGGGTTAGTGAGTAGTGGTAGGAAAACAAGAAGATGGAGATGAATGATGCTCAGAAAAGCAGCTAGACTCCAACTGCTAGTCACCACCACCACCATCCACCAAATTATACCAAAAAACTGTTCAAAACGAACTAATCAGAGATATAAAAATTGTTTTATAGGTATTATGTACATCACATATTACAAGATAATGCTGCTATGAATAACCGATACATCAGACAATTCATATGCGTAATTCTCCAACAGATTGTTCCTTTCCTTCAACTCCATCGATATTAACATCCTCATCATCAGCTTCACCACCATCATCATGTTCACTGCGACGACTTTTAGTACTACTTTGGCTAACAGGGGAATAGTACAAAGAGATATCCAAAAGAAATCTTTCACCAGTTGGGGCACAATGAATTTCACCCGATTTAATGAAATCACCTGCCAATATCAAAGAAAATAGATTTTAGAATAAGAAAGAATATATACATAAATAAATGAAATAAATTAGGTTTAACAAAGTAGGAAGACTATCTAGGGTTGGATAAGCACCCTGAAAGCGAGTGAGTATTAAATTAAAAGTCACCACCAGAGTAGAGTCTACAGGGTGGTGGAGATACAACTCCTAAGTATCAAATGTACCAACAACAATTGAGATAAAAAAATAATAATAAAGAAGCAACTATTCAGACGAATAATTTGTTGTTCCATGTATGTAGATGACACATTCACTGTACTAAGAACACAGGATATAGATATAGATATCGAACACATTAACTCAAAGGTGGAGGCAATTCAATTCACTTATGAATTGGAAAGTCAGGAAGGGGAGCTTCCAATGTTAGATTGTAGCGTAAAAAGAAAAGAAGATGGGAAGTTAAAACACACTAGTGTTTACAGGAAACCCACACATTCAAACAGATATTTGGACTTCCGATCATCCCATCCTATGTCAGTAAAAATAGGATTGGTGAAATGTTTAAGTGACAGAGCACAAAAACTAAGTAGTACCAAGGAAAATCTAAGATAGGAAGTGAGACATATAAGAGAAGCCTTGAAACTTAATAATTACCCTGATAAATTAATCAGGAAATATGTAGGGAAATGTAAAAATAAAATAAATAATGATAGTAGTGATAGTGATAATAATAATAATATTAATGACGACATCAAGTCAAATGTCGCAAGACAACACCAACAATAAGGAATCTAAATCACCAGTAGTAATTCCATACAAGGAAGGAACCTCGGAAACCTTACGCAGAATTCTTAACAAGGCAGGAATAAAAGTGGCATTCAAACCCACAAACTCAATTAGAAACAAGCTTTGTCGGTTAAAGGATGGATCCTGTGGAGCCTTTAAAACAAAACAATTTAGTTTATCTAATACCCTGCTGGAATGATTGTCAGGTCAAATACATAGGTCAAACTAGTAGAACAGGGGCAGTCAGACTAGCCGAACATAAAAACCTAGCAGCAAAATCTAGATTGGTTGACCCGAATAAGATAAGAAATCTAGAGAATAGTTCAGCTATAGCACTCACTACATGCAATTACACACAACCATACAATAGGATGATGGGATAAGATGACAGTTTTGAAATCTAATGTCACAGGGTGGAGGGAGAGATTGATAACAGAAGCTTTGTTTATCGAATCAACTGAAGAGAATACGTGTAATAGGAATGATTCAACACCTGTCCACCCAGACATCTGGAAGATTCTGCTACCCCTACGACAAATCGGAGAGGACAAAGGAAACTATAACACTCAAGTTTCGAAGTCGTGTGATTACAATTGATATGATTATGAACAATAAATTTTGTTCGAAACGTCATCCAGTAAATAATACTGTTTCACTGTGTGATATATCTAATAAACAAACTAATATGAAATTACTTACTACCACAGTGCCCAAGTTTTACACATACATGAATAATTTGTCATCATTGGGTACTACTCTCACTCAATTAAATTCGGGTACTTCTGATCGTTATTCAAGTGTTGGTTTGCAAGGATTTGATTTGATTGGTTACCACAGGATTTCATCATGAGCTGACATCGGTTAGAGAACCATTGGAAAACCAGCTGGGAGTACTGGACAGCCTACTCGTCAGCCTAGTTTGGGACTCTTCCGTAGTATGCATCCACCACCAGGGCCCTAGCCACACTTTCGGTTACAAGGCGAGCTAGCTCGTAGACCATTAAGTCACTGGGACTCGATCCAGTGGTTCATGCGCCCGAATAGCTTAGTGGTAGTGTCTCTGACTGCAGTACTGGGTCACCCGGGTTCGCATCTCAGAATTCACGAGCCATTGGATTGGGTCCCAATGGCTGAATGGTCTACGATCTCGTTTTTCAAGGGTTCTCTAACCGATGTTAGCTCATGATGAATACCTGTAACTTCTGATTGCTTCAATGTGTGAGAGAGTGTACTTTGCACCAAGTTAGAACTTAAGATCAGAAAAATAAAGAGACTGGCACACATAGAGAAAGTCAGACAGGCAGGCAGTCACAGTACAGATATCAACATAACCTACGAAAAACCGAGTAGTAGTCGACATCACCAGACTCTTACTACTATTGAAGTCAACTCTGAAACCGGTGAGATATTCAACAACTCATCAAAAGGCTATTATGCACCGCTTAACAGCTACTTTGACAATAATGTTGCACTTTTCATATAACCACCTGAAGTAAACTTACTTTTTTACTTTACTTCGGCTATCTCCTACGGGAGGATGAGCCGGCTTCATGAACATCTCGAATCATCGCTGCCCAGGCGCGGCGATCGTTTGTAAGAGAGTTCATGAAGTTTCATGGGAATTTGGTACGAGTGATGTCCCCAGAATCGCTCGGCCTTTTGTTTGAGAGTGCAGCTCTAGCCTTTACACAACCGAGTGTGACCTGCAAGGCAGTAGGAGTGGAGTAGGGAGTCCACTATCCATTGGCAGTCGGTGACCGGAGTTCGGTTCATACGCCTTTTCGAATGGGGCCAGATATCCAGGACATCCAACAAGCTCTTTGTCCATACGTCTGCCGGTGAGCTCTAGTGAGCTTCATACGCCAGTCGTTGGAGGTTTGGAATCAGGGTTTAGCCATCTCCCCTAGACTGTCATCCAATGGACAGTCAACCCGGTGAAGAGCGCCGGGCATCCGCTTTCGCCCTCTCACTTTGGTGGAAAACACCTCCGCCACGTGAAGGCAGTGAGTAGGACTTCCTCAGGAGAGGCTATGTAAGACGCCCGGTCATATGGGAGCATTTCAAGAGGTGTGCGGAGGGGTGGCCAACCCGCAGCGCAAGGCACCCACCCGCGACCATCCTAAGGCTTTGGAGGAAGAAAATTATTAAGCTGAATAGTCAGGGAGAGTCTAAAAGATGCTCCTAGTGCAAAATTCCGCCCTAAACAAGCTGCATTCAGAAAAAGTAAATCATATGTGGAACAAATTGCGACAGTACGCATAATCTGCGAAAAACATATAAGATGACAGTTGACTCTACCTCAGCTTCATCAATTTTGATAAGACCTTCGAAAGTGTAACCTCAAAGTAATTTGAAAACTGCTTCATCACTACGGACTGCGATGCTGCGGACATTCATAAATCCCACAAAACAGCTGACCGCTATGTGATGACTCCGTATCCCAAATACTTCACAACAGAAAGTTCACCACAACCTCTACAGTGGATATAGAAGACACACAGAATTGTTTACCATGATCGATGATTATCCTGATGACCTTTGACTTGATCCGGTAGGATAACGCGGAGGGAAGCCGGCCATACGTCGGACCAACAGTTAAATCCTGGGATGAGTTATGTCTCGTGTCGCACAAACGGAAGATATACAAGCGAAAACCGACAAGTTGGCAAAAGTGGCAGCGAAGACACCAATTCAGATGAACGCAGAGAAGACAGGGGTGATGAAGATACTCGACCGCCGCCACCGCCAACAACAAGCACCAATCATTTCATCATCATCGATAGAAGAAATTCACATGAAGGCATCTCTTCCACTTACCTGGCTAGGCAGCATCGTTTCAACTACAGGCGGAACGGATAAGGATGTTAGAGCCACTCAGGATAGATAGGAGAAACAAGACAGGCCTTCATTACTCAGAAATAAATCAGTGTGGAAGTCTACTGCACTCAGCATAAGGAAAAAGATCTGAATTTCTGACATTAATGTCAAGTCAATCAGTAATTCTATATGGTTCACAGAATTGGCGAGCGAGCACGCGTCACTAAAAGCCTTTCCCAGCAGTCTACAACTGCAGACCCGACCGATCAACAGCTGCCTTCGCTGCCTCCATACTGAACGAGCAGATGGCAAGAAAAGATAAGTGCAAGGAGGAACTCTGGAAATGAACCAAACAAGAACCCCAACAAATATGCAGAAGGGAATGGAGATGGATGACTGAACATAGGCTGGTTGAGGGGACTATTGATTGACAACTCATCATGTCAAGCATACCATACACACTTGAGTAAAACCCAAATGAGGGTAACATCGAGGAGATCGTATAGGAGGAAATGGAAGTTTATGAGAAATCATAGAGACAGTTAAAAATGACAGCAGAGAACAGCAGAGTGAAATTGTGTGATGTGGGGTCGACAGAGAAATAATCAATTTCAATGTAATTGTAGATAGAAAATCGACAATTCTTATTCATGTAACTGTACTTACCGCTGATACGACTCGACTTTTCTAATTCAATACAGTCTAAGTAACAACGTAAATTCTCCTCCAATTGACTGATATCCCACGACAGCTACAGTTATATAAAGTAAGAAAACATATTACAATTCTAAAATGAATAAAAGACTACTTTACGTGGAAGAATAAAATGTATCTGCATTTTATTAGAGCACAAAATGTAACTCATAATAACAGACTCCATGTTTTTGATGTGGTTGTGTTCTCTGAGCTAGCTGGATGGTGGTTTATTTGCGAAGCTTTCATTGCCCCAACACTAGGCAACATCCTCACCTCAGCACATACTTCAATTTGAATTGAAGTGAGCTTTTAGATTTCTCCACGAGTTTATTAGTCATCTCTCCTGGTGGGTGACCTTGAACGTCGTGATTGGTTGTTTTTGTGTGTTTTCACACCCTCTAGGCTACTTGTATTGGAACTGATTGTTTCTTTGACTTGAAGTTTGACCCTTTGTGTGTGAGATTTCCTTCTTATCGGTTGGTAAATTTTGTCTATCTCGATGTGTCTATTGATTGATGATTCACTGGAATACCAGGCAGGCTTCTAAAAATTCTCTGGCGTTCTTCGTATTTCCTCTGTCTAATATTTGAACGTTGTCCCAGTCGAATTGATGTCCGTGGTTGTCTGTATGCAGTGATATGAGGGACATCATGACATCCACTCCCTCATATCGCCTCACTGCATACATACAGACAATCACGGACATCAATTCGACTGGGACAACCAACGTTCAAATATTAGACAGAGGAAACACCAAGAATACTAGAGAATTTTTAGAAGACTGTCTGGTATTCCAGTGAATCGTCAATCAATAGACACATCGAGATAGACAAAATTTACCAATCGATAAGAAGGAAATCTCACACACAAAGGGTCAAAGTTCAAGTCAAGGAAACAATCAGTTCCAATACAAGTAGCCTAGAGAGTGTGAAAACACACAAAAACAACCAACCACGACATTCAAAGTGACCAGGAGAGATGACTAATAAACTCGTGGAGAAATCTAAAAGCTCACTTCAATTCAAATTGAAGTGTTGCCTAGTGTTGGGGCAATGAAAGCTTCGCAAATAAACCACCATCCAGCTAGCTCAGAGAACACAACCACATCAAAATCATCCACCTGAGCTACAAATCTTCTCCATCATATCTACAGACTCCATGTATTAGATGTTTGGAGGCATTTGACAGGAAGCCCAGTCTGACCCAGCTTTCGTGCTTCTTGGCACTCACCATCCAGTCAGTAAGGCGTATCTACAACCAACTTGAAGGAACTCATGTCCTTTCTGAGATTCAAACCGGCGTCACCAACCAGTGCTGCAGTCTGAGACGTTACCACTGAGCTATTCGGGCTGGCGATTGACCTCCTGTAGGACTGTATTGGATATTTGTTTTTGATTGAACACTAGTCAGTAACTAGTGTAATGTGTCTAGTCCTTTGTTTCGTGCAGACTGAATTCTATCAGTCAAGTTTGCAATGTGGTGAGGGTTCAAATCTCAGAAGGAACATGAGTTCCTTCAAGGCGGCAGCAGATACGCCTTGCTGAGTGACTGGTGAGTGGCAACTAGAATGAAATCTAGGTCAAACTGGGCTTCCTGTCGACTGCCTCTATTATTATATTACTATTGTTTCCTTTAATTCCTAGAGGAGCACAGGGCTTTAGCCGTGCGTCTCTATTGAGTTCGGTTCCCTGCTAGAGTCTTCACCTTGCTCCAAGTCTGCCCACACGTTTTCATCTCCTCTTCACATGACCTCCTCCAAGTCACCCTTGCAATGACGACCAACTCGCCGCTTCCCTTTCGGGTTCCACTCGAGCAATCGCTTGTCTAGTGATGTCACTTGATGGTTTCCTCAGAGTATGGCCAATCCATCTCCATTTTTTCCTGCCTATTTGTTTCACAATCGGTTCTTGGTTGGTTCGCTCCCAGAGATCCCTCCCTGTTGCTGATCTTTTCTGGCCATCTGATCTTGAGTGTTGAGCGAAGACAACTGTTAATGAAGGTCTGTAGTTTATTTGAGATGCTCTTTATGACGCGCAGTGCAAGTCTGTGATCCGTATAGTAGCACTGACTGACTTCACATTGGAGTTGAAAATCCGGATCTTATTTTTGATGCTGAGTGCTGACTGCCTCTAACCATCTAATGTCAACAATTCACAGTGCACCGTGATGGCAAACCACCTAGTTGCATGGTGGCCACATTGCAAACTTGACTGATAGAATTCAGTCTGTACCAAAGATAGGAGGACTAGACACACACACATTACACTAGTTACTGACTAGTGTCCAATCAAAAGACTCCATTGTATTGAGATATGCGATAAGAGAATCAGCTTTCATATTTGCTTAACAAAACATCAATTTGTTCAACAGTGACTGCAGATTTGTACAATGATGACTGACTGCTCAACGAACTTCATTATAACGTGAAGTGGCGTGGTTTTTATAAAGCCGTTTCGATGCAGAAAATTCTTTATGCCACACACACATATATTTTAAGAACATAGATAAACTTCACAATGGAATAATCATAGATATAGCGATTGAAAGCTTATCGACATATTTTACAGTAATATGGTCAATCACCTTAGTGAATCGACCAGTAGGTGGCAGGTATACCGGTTTCATGATATGCACAATCGTGAATTTATATCCCCCCCATCAAATCCGCCTCTTTCCCACCACCACCTCTATAGGATCGAAATTTAGCCACTAGTCCAAAAAAGGGGGTTGGTTATTGATCACTTATTGAAGTGATTCTCGTCACATTATCTAGAGAAATGGATGAGCACATACCTACACTGACTGAAGCTAATGTTCCTAGAGGTCCTACAATGCCAAAACGGTCATTTGGATAGCGGTCAGACTGAAAGCAGTCACTATCATGGTACAAACCGTAGGCACTATGTTGGGTGGAGTGTTTGAGGGTGAAGTCGAACTGCTGGCTGGCTGGCTAACAGGGAACTAACAAACAACAAGCCACCTATGCTGCGGAGAGGGGGAAGCCTGGAAATAGTACATCCCGACTTACCCTACATCAATCCATAGCCGCCGGTGAGTTCATAATACGGATGCAACTGTAAAAACTAATTCAAACACGCCATGTATGACCGGCCACAGGCGATTGTCCCCTGGACTCTGCTGTCAACTTCCACGTTGTGAGCAACCGGGAAGTAATAACCGACCACAGAGTTTCGTAAACGCACAAAGCTTCGCTGAGCAACATTCACCTCCATATGCTTGCTTTTCTCTCTCACTACTAGAACGCAATTTCAGCAGGTAGCTAGGCTGCTGCTGAAGGTAAAATGCCCAGATGTAGTCGTTTCAGTAGGTGATTTCAATGCACAAGCAGGGAAGCAGTGCCAATCAGAAAAGTATACTGGTGGCACCTATGGGGTTTCATACTGACGACGAACCGACAACGATGATCATCGCCTACAGTTCTGTTCAGATAGTCATCTCTTCCTCGTCAGCACTAACTCCAGACGATAAGGAGAGACATTATCTGACCTGGTGACCATTACCAAATCAACGATTGACTCAAATAGATCAATCACGTAGCTATAAGCTATCGATGGAGAGGATAGGTAGAAGACTGCCCCCTCTTTCTGAAACACACGCGTAGACTCTAATCATTCTCCACTCCGTGCACATAATATATCCTACGACTGAACAAACAAGATATTTTATTTCTGCTGATTCCTCAAGCATATGCAGGAGATCTTGTACAATCTGTGATTCACTGCCTTAGATACTCAGATTTCAGGCGGTGCAATGACATTGTTCGAAGAACCATGGTGAAATGGAACGTATGTACAAAATCTACGAGGGATGATTACGAGTTAAAGCTAGGACATTACTATGCACGTGCTGTGACACACACACACACAATCGCCAAAAGAGAGTAGAAAGAATGACTGATTAACGAATCTTTGTCCATCGAATCAACGCTCAAAAAAATGTAGCTGGAATGACACAACACTACTAATGTAGTGAATTAGGAAATCTGACAACTATGGTAACCAAAGAATACAAAGTATTCAAGTGCTTGTTTGCAGGATTTCATCATGAGCTGATATCGGGAGTACTGGACAGTCAGCTGTTTCGTCAGCGTGGTTCGGGACTCCTCATCGGTGCGTAACCATCCCACTCCCGGCACTTGAACCCAGGACCCTCCGATTACAAGATGAGCTAGCTCGTAGACCATTTTAAGCCACTGGGACCCGATCAAATGGCCAGTCAATGAATTCCAACTTCTGCCAATTCACGATATAGAGCGACTGGCACTAGCTAATGTCATTGCTGGCGATCTTTTATATCGTGAACTGGCAGAAAAATTGGAATTTATAAGTCATTGGATTGGTGGGTTCCAGTGGCTTAATAGTCTACGAGATCACCTTGTAACCGGAACGTCCTGGATTCGGACCCCGGCAGTGGGTTAGGTGCGTACCACTGAAGAGTCCCGAAGTATACTGACGAAACAGCTATCGATTACTCCACTGCAGGTTTTCCAATGGTTCTCTAACCAATATCAGCTCATGATAAAATCCTGAATACAAAGTAACTAAATTATTAAGGTCAGATACTGAAAGTCGTATTGTAACGACAGAAGACAAGGGCCAGGGAACGGATCGTTTATTGAGAAAATCAACAGATATATTTATAGATTTTTATGTACATTATTATTCGTTATTGTTAGCAGAGAAGCAACGTCTTCTGATTGGTTGTTTCCCTGCTGAAGGTTATTCTGTCATCTCTTTGTTGCCGTTTCTTAGACAGTCCGTTGATACATATCTGCGAATCGTATCCGCCCACGCTAAGTCTGCTGTGATTGGTTGTTGAGTTCCTCAAGGTTAAGGTTTATTATTATTCGCTCTCATGCCCCCGATTTGGGACGTAAACATTGGCGTCAATTGTTGTCTACAATTTTGGCTAGCAGACAGCTCTCACCACAGTATGACAGAACCTATAGAATTACAGCCAGCAAATGGAGTTCGATACGCCTTCAATAAGTAATGCTGTATCATAGTGTTCTACGATAAAGTATAAAGTAGAGTAGTCTAAAATGGAGTGCCACCACCCTCTTTTACAACAAATAAAAAATATAACGAACTAACTATATTATAGTACCTGACCCAAAACTAAGTCCAAAAATGCAATTTCTGGAATTCCATCAATAGACGACGAAAGCAATTTAACACCATTCGAGTAAGTTGAACAGAGACTGACTAAATCTTCACCTATTTTACCTATGTAAAAACACATGGAAAAAAAACAGATTTTTAAAAAAATAAGAAAATTAAAGACAAATTTTTACTCATTAAAAATGCCCATTAAAATTTTTTCAAAAGAATGGATACTGAACAAAGAATACTCTTTTCGATAACTTCATCATCAGGCTCTACAGTTATACATACATTATAGTGAATGAATGAATTAGTGTTATGAACAACATTAATGTTGTTTAAATAACATCGAATCAATAATATTGATCGATTACAGCTCAATAGCATCAACATAACAATAAAAACTGAATATCAGAAAAATTAGGAAAGATAATATTACAAATTCATGAATTTATAGATTCTACTGAAGGCCGGCTAGGGCAGTAGTAGTGGCTCGCTGGACTTGCTTCTTTTGAACACAGAGCACTGGTTGTTTGACGTGGATTGACTGATTTTTCGTGCTTGCTCGAGAACATCTCCCATTATGGCTAAGTAAAGGTGTAGGGAAAACCATTAACAGTTCGATATTGGACCATCTGGTGCAAATCGGCCAGCCACAAAGCCAGCCAGCATTGAAGAATCCTTCTCTATCATCTACCGGGTGCCTAATAAATTGCCAAAATCCTCATCGAAGCACCACATGCTCCAAACAGCAGAGGCTATTGCAATTTGCATAAAAAATTGATGTTTACACATCTTTTAAACCTATCTATAAAATGTATTTGGGGCGTATCCTACAGTTTGTGGAAGCCCTAACTGGCAAATAGGAAGTTTAAACCATCTTTGTGGAATCAAAGCAAGAATTCGTCATCACATTAAACTAACTTCCTTGGTAAACTTTGTTTTGATACCAGTCAGGGTAGATGTACTATTACCTCTGTTATTTGGTTAAGTAATCTTCATTGTTATTTTGACCTTCAATATGTCCTTTCAACTTGACCTAAGTGGTCTATTTTCTCACCTCTTAACTTTTTATTAATTTCATATATATGTACTCCTATGACAAGTCCGTGTGTGATTAGATTGTTCGAAATATGTTGCGCAAATATATTACATGCACGATTCAGACAAATTACGTCTTCCTCCTTATTGCTTTATCTAAACTTTTAAAAGTGAACTTCGGTTTGAACATATATAATAATATTGTCCATGCATTTAAAGAAAGAAAAAAATCCAATCTTACCATTTTTTGTGGTTGGTAGCTTTTCTTTCAATATATGTCGTAATTTAAACAGATGACTTTCCCAACTTGGATGTGCCACAACGGAATCATATTCTCCCCAATGATAATATCCCTGTCCTAAGCGTTGAATAAGCTTTGACCCGCCAGCATCGAATGCGCCTGCATTTAAAAACTCTTCTGGATTATCTGTATCCTAGATCACATGAGGAAATAAAGGTGAACAAATAGATGTTTAGAAGCTTTAAAAAAATGCCAATTATGTGTACGAATATGGTTACTTATTCAATTTTTTTAAAACACTAAAAACAGCTGAAGAACAGCATCGAAGACGAAATCTACAAGTATACTGGTGGCCAACAAAATCCTAGCAGGGATACAAAAGATTCAATTGGTATTTGCTCATCTTGTCTCATCTTGGAAGCAAGGCGTAAAATCCGATTGGCCACTAAAAGACGTGTGTATATGGTGAGAGCTGGCTGCTAGATAAATTGGTAGACAGTAATTTACGTCAATGTTTACGTCCCCAATATTGGTCGAGAGAAAAATAAGAACAAAGACTGATTCAACAACCAATCACGACAGACTTTGAGTAGGCAGATACAATTTGCAGATAGATAATCTGAACTTCAATAAACGGCCACAAAGAGATGAAAGATTAACGTTCAACGAGAAACCACCAATCAGAAGACTGTGTTTGTTTGCTTACAATAATCTATAATAATGTACATGAAAATCTATAAATGTCTGTTGATTTTCTTAAATAAACGATCTGTTGCCTGGCCCTTGTTTTTTGCTGTTACATTTATACTGGGCTCTGGTCTACTCACGAGCAGATGTGAACAGACTGAAGGTTTTTGATCGTATGAGATGGGAAAGAATAAGGCTAGAATAAAGCCAGAAGAGTAGTCAGACCAAAATATAAAACGAATACATTACATCACACTGATTATTCATCTGATTCCCATGGAAAGAATAAAAGATACATTGGTTGCGCAACTCCGCTCCTCACTCCACCCCGAAAACAATCTGGATTCAAGAAAAGCAAATCATGTGCTCATAAAATTGGAACTCGACGCATCATCATCATCGAACAGAGCATAAAATGAAAGTCAAACCTCTACCTCAACATTATCCAGTTTGAAAAGGCCTTCGACAGCACAGACCGAGAGGTAATTTGGAAACTATTTCAACACTATGGTGTGTAGTACCCATATCTTTATCTACCTCATTCAACAGCTATATGAAAGTGCCACGTACTTTGTGATCCACAATGGAAAACTCAGCGAGACATTTGAAGTGGAGATAGGAATAAGACAACATTGTCTGTCTACATTAACCGATGGTATTCCTAATTATGGATTATGCTGGAAACTGTGAGGAGAGAGAAGACAAGAATACGCTGGACCACAGATAAGAAGACTCTGGAAGATCTTGACTTAGTGAACCATTTATGTTTAATGTCCAACAAACTCGAAGACTTACTGGCGAAAACCAACAAACTAATTTTAATTTTTTTGATTTTTTTATTATAGCTTGAAACCACACAGTATTTTTGGTACAAGTATGGAATTTTCAGCATATGATATCGGTAGCCCAAATTTTGCAGACTGACTATAGATATCAGATGTGCGTCGGCAGGGGATCGAACTCCGGACCATGTGCATGGTCGGCGAGAGTCCTAACCACTGTGCTGCCGACGCATAAAAAGCCGGTAACACCCGGTATTCCCAGCCGGTCACCCATGCAAGTATTAGCCGGGCCCTACGTTGCTTCACTTCGGTGATCGGACGAGAACCAGTGCTTTCAACGTAGTATGGTCGCAAAGAAGGCAGAACTTCAAGTGAACATTGAGAAAACAGAGATGATGAAGATACTTGGTCGCCAACAACACTAATAACCAGCTAAAAATCACTATCAAGAGAACAAAATTAGAAGGAGGTTACCTCCTTCACTTATCTGGCCAGGCAGCATCGTTTCAACTACAGGTGGTGAGTGGAACGGATGAGGATGTCAAAACCAGACAGGATCGGAAAGGCAAGACAGACAGGCATTCATCACTCTGAAATCAGTTTGGAAATCTTCTGCACTCCACCTCAGCATAAACAACAAAATTCGGATTCCGTTCAACACCAATGTTAAGTCAGTCAGTCAGTTCTTCTATGTGGGTGAGAAACGTGCACTAAGCTTCACGGAAAGTATTTCTAACAGGCTATGGCAGACCTTTATCAACATCCGCCTTCGACGGCTCCACACTGAGGATCAGATCAGATAGTTCGCCAGAAAGAATTAGCAGCCAAGAACCAACTGGTCAGCAAATATGTGGGAGAAAATTGAGATGGATCGGACACACAGTGTGAAGAGACTGTCGAATGACATCGCGCTAGAGACTGGCCCTCCAGTGGGATCTGAGTGGGAAACAGTGATTTGTACGTTAGTCAGAGGGTGACATGGAGGAGATCGTTTATGGAGGAAGAGGTGAGAGACTATGGGCAATCCTCGTGAAGAGGATTGCGGAAAATAGGACAAAGTGGAGATGTACTGTTGAAGCCGTGCGTTCCCACTCGGAATCCAAGGGAACAATAATAATATTTTCAATAGTTGGTTTGTAAGGATTAGATTTGTTTTTTAAGAGTTGATCACGGATTGATGTCATCAGTTAGAGAACCATTGAAAACCAGCACTGGAGTACCGCCAGACAGCTGTTTCATCCTAGTTTGGTAATTCATGGGCCATTGAATCGGATCCCAGTGGCTGAATCATATATATGAGCTTGCCTTGTAACCGGAAAGTCCTAGGTTCGAACCCTGGCGGTAGGTGTGTACTGCCGATGATTCCCGAACTAGGATGAAACAGCTGTCCAGTACTCCCTCGTGGGTTTTCAATGGTTCTCTAACTGATATCAATCCGTGATCAACTCGTAAAAACAATAATAATACATGGAAAGGTTTAAGATGCTTTATTGGAGTCATCGGGATGTTAAGAATAAGTTATTGTACTCTTAGTGGAATATTTCTTAAAATCCTTTAACAATGAAACAAACGCATTCATTTTTTTATCACTATGGAAATTCTGTAAGCCTTCATTAATCTACACGTTGAGTTATTCTTAAATCCATACTCACGTTTATGTGATGATTAAAATCGATGAGCCATGTATCTGGCATCACCACGTTATTTGCTAAAATAATCGATCCATAAATGCTTGTTTTTAATGCCATAATCCTCACGACCTTTAAGACACACTGTTCCAATCACAGTCAACAGATATCTCAACTAATTAACTAACTTATTGCGTTTCAACGTAGAACTTACCATGGAAGTACTGCAGTTCAAGTTACTACAATACCTCATGTACCACACAAAGGTTGAGAAAAGGAGGGAAGAAACAATATTCAAAGGAAATATACTGGAGAAAGAATAAACACTTGCATAGAGAAGCACGAGGACTGAATGGAGCTGGGAGGTTGCGAAGAGAGTGAATACACTCGCACCGTAGGGACGATTCTGAGTTATGTTACCAATAGTCTCAAGCTATTGGTTTCTACCATCCGGTGGACTCCAGCCAACCAGACTGGCAGTCTACACACCTCCGTGTGAAGCTCAGTCAAACCACGAGTCAGAGATTTCATGGATTACTCAATTAGAAGGACGAGCCATTTCAGTCGATGTAGCTTCACGGTCTGATTGATCGAGTTGCCCTCTCCTTACCTACTCCTGACACCTCACCTCAGTATTACTCATCATACTATATTACTTTAAATAGGAGACAGAATGCAAACAACTGTGGTTTCAAGCAACCGTTTGATTATCTTGTTTACACACTTAGATGACAGACTAACGTATTTAAGTGTTTGTCAGCAGGCATTGGACTGGTTACAGTATTTTCATCATGAGTGGACATTAGTTAGAGAAGCATTGGAAAACTAGCACTGGACAGCTGTTTTGTCAACCTTGTTTGGGACTGTTCAGGGTTTGGACCCAAGAAATTCCAGCTACAAGGCGAGGTCGTACGCAATTATGTACCATACACAGATAATGCTCCAAAGTGGAAAGAATATATACGATGTTATGTAATTCTATCCTAACGAAATATTCGTCCATGAATTCGTAAACCATAACAGCAGATTAATAAAAAATTCAAAAAAATGAGCAAAGAATATCCTTTAAGATAATACAATCAATCGACGGGTAAATCTAAAATTAAATTAACATGACCCGTTGCACAAGAGACAGTGGATCTCGTGGCCCAAGTGGTCTATTGGATACCGCCTTGGCATTCGAAACTATAGGCACTGGGTTCGAGCCTCGGTGGGAACATCATCACTCACTGGGAAATGCAGGTACATCCAGCTGACGAGTCCCAATTAGGATGAATTGCGTATCCTATATTCCACTGCTAATCACCATCCACTAATTAAATTCCAATTATATGTATGTTATATACACAGAATATTCTAGAATAGTCGTCAAGAACGATATTGGTGTTTTGACTGCTCCTGTGGAGCCAGTTACATAGACCGTACTATTAGGCGTGTTTCTCATCGGATTTCCGAGCATCATCTTGCGTGGTTAATTAAAGGACAAACAAAATCCATTCATAGCTCTATTCTATCCCATCTCGTGGATACAGAACACAAGATTGGTTGATGTTAACGAGGCGGCTTTCAAAGTCATTTACCGCATACCAACTAATCTTAACTTCGCCTTAAGAGTTCGTCTGCTACATACTGCCGAGGCTGGCATTAGGAATTTACATTAAGAGACCTAATTTATGTATCCAAAAGAAGTTGGTTCAAACACTGTCCTTATCTTGGCCATCAAGGTTCTAATGATCCTCAATTTCTTGTGGAAATTTCCTTAATTTTATTTAATATTCTATTTGCTTATTATATTTGGATGCTTATTATAATTTATGCATCTTTAGTGAGTTGTAGTGATCTTAACAAATCGATATTATTTAAACGAAACATCAATATTGTTCTTGACTACTATTCTGGAATATTCTTTGTGTACAAAAATATATATATATATATATACAACTGTAGAGCCAGAAGAGGAAATCATCGAAAAGAATATTTTTTGTTCACTTTTTTTGTTTTTTTTCTAGATGTCTGTCACCGCGTTTCGTGGGGATGAACATGAAACCAAAGCCAAAAAAGAGATAAGAATACATTTCAGTGCCCAAGAAAACACTTTATTTGAATCTGGAATTCAGTGGAGACCTAGCGGCAGCAGATATCCTTAAAAGGAGAATCCTCATTTTCCTGCAGCAACTCTAATAAGAGTGATATTCTCTAGCCGCCCACTACTTCGGAGCAACGTGAAGGACAGACATCTGGATATAACCACTTCAATGTGCATATATCAGTTCCCCTGCTCGTGCGGAGCTAAGTACTGATGACGATTCTATCAAAATTTGTTAAAGAACATCAGCCAGCATGGCTGCAGAGAGGAGGCACTGGTTCAATCAGAAGCGCCATAACTGAACACCTTGTCAACATTTATCACAGCATCTCAACTGACTCATCATTCAAAGTCATTTACAAAGTAAAAATTGTAGAGCCAGAAAAGGAAATCATCGAAAAGAATATTCTTCGCTCAATTTTTTGTTGTTTTTTTTTTCTAGATGTCTGAATTAGATCTCGGTTTATGTCCGATTCTAGCATGGATGGGGAGAGGGGGTATGTTTTCCTTTTTAACGTGAGAATCTGTCTTCCAGTGATGATAATGACTGAGGGGGGGGGTTAAGCTCGAATCACACCTGATAAGAATGCTTTAAAGAAATTCACTACTAAAATATTTAAAAGATACTTTCTCACTCACTTACTTGACACACGGCTAAAACTCGACTTTTGGGTAGGAAAGTCAATATATTTGGTAGAACAATATAATGTTCAAATTTATTGATAAACTTTGTCTTTTTCTTTGTACACATGTTTAGTGTTACCTACAGGACAAAATAACAAAAACAAATAACAAGAAAATATTCACGAATATACATATATGCATATATATCTTGCCCTGAACAGAATAAAACTCCATAGCGTTTGTTTGTTATGTCTGCGGCTGCTAACTGATAATAACACGGTAATGGGACTCGACTGGTACGCTAACGCTAATATTGCCTATTTGTCCGCTGTACCTTCCCCGATTCACTGAGCCAAGCAAATATCAAAAGACAAAAAAAGCCGGCACCTGTGACTGTGAGATACTGTACTGTACGCATACGCCAGGTTGATCTCTGAAGAAATTTCAGCACGGATACAGAGGGCTAGTTTCGCATATGCCAGTTTACGCCGTCTCTGGCGTAGACGTGATATCCGGCTGGCTATCGACCAAAGGGTGGGTGTACTGCTCAGCAGTCCACTCCGTCCTCCTTTATGGCTGGCTATGAGACCTGGCCATTGAGAGTGGAAGACATGGGAAGATTAGCTGTCTTCGACTATAGGTGTCTGCGTTCTATCTCCCGTGTGAAGTGATAAAAAAAGGTGAGAAATATTCAGGTTAGGCATCAGTCAAGTGCTAGGTAAGGAGGGAAAATCAGTCGACCAGGCTGTGAAATTACATCGACTGAGATGGTTAGGACATGTGCTAAGTATGCCTAGTCATCGCCTTCCTCGACGGGCAATGTTAGCTGACATAGGGTCAGGTTGGAAAAGAGCCAGTGGTGGTCAAACGAAAACATGCCGTCATCAGTCAATGAAATCCACGTAGGGAGGTGTAGACTTTCTGACTGGATTAGGGTCCTCGGGATGATAAAAACCAATTACTGGAAACAATTGGTGATATGGCTAGCTCAAAATCGTCCTCAATGGCTGATGCAGATGCATCCACTCCTTGTGACTTACGATTTCAAATGAAACTATATTGTTCTTCTTTATTACTATTCCTTTGTTTCACACCTCTGTTTACTGTCTCGATTATGCATTTATTCTACTTTCTTCTCTTGCTTTGTGTGCTACAAGGAGGGAGTGTGGCGACTTGAACTGCCTCACATCGGTGCAAAGTTCTATGTCGAAAACAGACAGACAGACAGACACCAGATACACAATCAACTACAACCAAGGCACTTCTGACGAGAAGTCAATGTGACCTGGGGAGTCTATGAGATTTATACGACTTCTCACTAGAACTCCAGTGATGTCCATCCAGATGTCACGTGTGAGGATGGATGTCCCACCAACGACATTGGGTGGGGTCGCGCTAAATTACGAATCGAGAAGGTTAATAATTAGGAATTAGAGCATATAACGGAGTAAAACTCAAACAAAGTAGCATAATAACTAAGAAAATTGACATGTGCAATTGGGGTTAGAGATGTAAAAATAACAAAATATACAGGATGTTTGGATGAAGAAAATTTTCTTTTCGACGAAGTCATCATCTAGGCTGTACATTCGTGTATTTATATCTAAACGAATCGGTAGAAGTTAGAATTCATGAGTTGGCCATTGAGGTGTCGGGTCCCAGTGGCTGAATGGTATACAAGCTGGCTTGCTTGTAACCGGAAGGTCCTGGGTTCGAACCCCAGTGGGTGCATAATGCCAATGATTCCCAAACTAGGATGAAACAGCTGTCCAGTACTCCAGTGCTGGGTTTTCAATGGTTCTCTAACTGATATCAATCCGTGATCAACTCGTAAAAACAAAACTAACCCTTACAAACCAAACTATAGAAAAAAACAGTTATTACTGAATTAAAATAATACTCCTTTTACCTTAACAGAAACTGGATTATCCATACAATCATACATATCTGGATGAGCACTTTCGCGTAGCAGCTCAACAGCCTCGGACAGACTGTGTTTCTTTGTTTCAAATTGTGACATTAGGTAGATATTAGACGTTGGCAGGCGACCGCTTAAAAGCTCTAACTGTGCTATCTCTTTTTCCCATTTACTTCGATTTGTCTTTATCAATAATTCACGAGCGGCATCTCTTCGGCTTTTTGATCTTTCATTGACAGTGACTTTAGCTTCACGATATCTTGGTTGATTGTGTCTGAATAATTGAGATGAAGTTGACAGAGCTCGATGTGAATTTAAGAGTGTAAGTGATTGGATTTGTGTACACCTATAGTTAATTACTTTTGCGAACTGCATTGGAGCTAAAAAACAATAAAGTTTAGTAAAATAAACAAGGTGGTGTTTTAGCGATGAGAAGCAATAAATAAACAGAAAATCGAACAACAGTATCATGTTTACCAGTTATAAGGGGGATTAAGGGTGCTGTGAAACTGTGACCTTTTCATATTCTTACTGATTCTAATCGATAAAGCCTGTACTTTATAAATAGAATAGGTGATTTGAGGATTCGGTGCGTTATTTTAATTGGGTAATAGTACTTATCTATCGCTAGCGTATACACACTATAGAAAACTTCAAAAAACAGGAGTATAATTCTTACTATTACCGAACATTAGTTGTTTATGAAATAGAAGGCGGAATTAAATTAAGTCCCCTGCCACTCACATCCGACGAGTCTATAGTCCCGATGTTATAGAAACAGAATTAGATCTTTTGCGAGAAGAGGCCTTAAAGACAAGGTCCCGCATCTGACCACTAGTATGTGCAGATATCAGTTCACCTGCCGCTGTGGAGCCAGGTACACCGGTCGTTCGATGCGCATTCTGTCCAAGAGGATTCAAGAACACTACCCAGCATGATTGCGAAAAGGCAATAGTGGTGCTATAAAGAGTACGATAACTGAATACCTAGTTAACATTGATCATTCCATCTCAACGAACGCCTCTCGCTTCAAAGTAATCTACAGAGTCAAGAATAACCTACCAAAGGCAATACGGTTTTTTCTTCTTTGTATTACTGAAGCTCTGGCCATTCACATAAGAAACCGAAGCTGTGCATACAAAAGAGAATTACTCAACCACTTTTACTATTATGCTAACAACTTTGTTGATTTTTGATGACCTAATTTTGTTTGTTTTCTTGTTTCTCTAATTGCTTATAATTTCATATCCTCTACTTCGTTTCTATGTGCATTCTGAGTACAACTCAATCATCAAACTATTCATATTATTACCTTTGTTACTACCCTAGTTTCATTAACAACCAATTTTCTCGACAGTTTTTGTATTGCGTAACTCCAACCCTTTAGTTAAAATAACCATAACCAATTGTATTTTTGTTCGACAAACTCAATGTACACATACATACAAAATAACATATATATTTGAGATTGTACAGCTAAGATAATGAATTCGCCGAAAAAAGGCTCTTCGCTGAACTACGTGTTTCGTTTTCATTAATGCCTAGATGGGGATTATTCATGAATTATGAAATAGAAGTTTAATGTTTTAATATATATATATATATATTCTTTTACGTTCCAAGTGGAATATAAAGCTTCAAGCTACAGCTTAGAAGTTTCGGTAGCAGTGGTATTAATTTTTATGGGATGGGGTTGCTAGCCTCATACCTAACCTTCCCTCGCTACCAGTCTTACTACAGGCATAGCAAGGTATGGGAGTGCGTCCAGTGGCCGGGGATCGAACCCCGAACCACGTGTGGCGTGGTTGGCAAGCATTCTACCACTGTGCCACCGACGCTGTTTTAATATATGAGTCACACCAAAAACACTTCGATAATAATTATACTTCGTTAGTTCTTGTCAGATGCATGTAAAACGACGTAAACTTATCTCGCTTAATGTGTTCTCCTTGCTTTGTTTAAGTTTGTCAAGGGAAATAACTGTAGAAAAATATTTATCTCTGTACTTTTTGCTTTCAAAGTTTGAATTTCACCTGCAAGATTTAACGTCAATCTAAGCGTTATTAGAAATTCATTTTCGCAAGTAAGTGAAGTTCGTAAATTTTTAATGATTTTATAATATACTTGACTAATTAAATGAAATGGTTTCTGATGAACATTCACTTTGTAATTCATCTGTTATTTCCTAACCTTTAACGATTGTATTTGTTTCGCTTGGATGCTGATCTTATTACAATTTCATTGTATCAGCGCTGAGTCAAATTCTACTTGATTTGAAATTGGAGATTTTTTAAACTGACATGGATCGACATTTTGGGTCTTTTGTTAATGGTAAATTTGAATTTCGAAATTTGTACTTGAAACAGATTGAATACTTTTACCATCAAACGTGATCTCGTTACTACACCAACAGCTCTGCTCATTTGAATTCGGAGATGCAGTACATATATTATATAAAGAGTTCAGTAAAGAGATTCGTGATCGGTGCACTTATGCTGACGGAAGGATCAGTCATCAAATGCATAGGACATACTAACAATACAATGAGAATAACTAACCTACTTAGCATGAAGATTAAAGATGATTATTGGTTGAACAGTGTGAGCAATAGTCTTCGAAACTACTGTGTGCTTGTGCATATGGCTTATAAAAACATGCACAATTACCCAATAAATAGCTTTGCTGACTATAAAGGTTTAGGAGAGACTGTAGGTCATGACCTGAAGAATGAAACAAATCTTAGAATAGCGGCTATGGAAGGTTTCGGAATGTTACTGGATATCTACAAGAATTTGATTTTGATATATTTTGTATATTATGTACTAGTCATATCAGAACTTATATGAGATACAGGATACGAGCAGTGAGCCCATGTTCTAAATAAGGCGTAGATATAGAAAGAATTTGAAAAGTGGGGAGTGAATTGGTCAAGGGATTCCTGTATTTCTTGCCATTGGCATATCGGTGGGTGTAACATTCACAGTAGCATTCCATATATTATGCAGTGACACGGATGTAAATATGTAACTCATCCGTTTTCCCCAAAAAAATTGTCTAAAACTACGCCGCATACTTCGAAATTACCATAAGTCTTCGGAACCACATGCAGGTTTTCAACCATTGGTTATTTAGATATCACAATACCTTCAAAAAATGATAGGAATATACCACCTGAAACCAGAGTTGGCAACGAGAAGAAACACACACACATAGGAACGAGCGCTTAATGACGTTTAGATCCTCAATGTGAGCGAGGTATTACAAGGTTAATAACAAATGTAATCATGAAAGAACAACTGAAGAAGTGTTAGTCTACATCTTCGTCACAATATTGCGGAATTAATCCCAATATTCATGACACTTTCAGTACCTTAATGTCTTGAACGATTGTCAGGCCCAGGCAGACAGTCTCAATAGTTTATCTTCGGGTCAATTAATGAGTAAGACTAGATTAAGCACAAATTAGAGCCTGGATTAGGAACAGGAAGATAATAGTTTTGTTTGATGGTGGATGAGTGTTTTTTTAGTATAAGGTAAAGGTTTGTTACAGTTTCCAATATCCACTACGGTTTTTACGAGCTAGTATAAAGCAATAATTTATTTTGGTATCTGACAGTATCTGGATGAAAAGACTTTTCCAACAGTCCTGAATGTAAATCTCGAGGAATTAATTAAAGCATATCTCCTTTTACACCCATATTATGCTGTTTAATTAGCCTACATTTTAGAAACGCTCTAACCTGCAGCTATATGCCGAAATCATAAAACTCACAAATGTTCGCAACGCAAGGCTCAAATAACTCCTCTGAACGTTCAATATCCAATACCAGTGGCAAATAGATAATTATTGATTTTTTTCGCGTTCGCTGCATAGTATTATCAAACGACTGCATGGTTTTAGCACATCCCATTTATCCTAATCATCTGCTATTGAATGTAACAAACAAAATTTATATATCGACCAAATTCTTGTGGAGCCTAACATTAATAGCAACTGCTTAACACAGTCATGAAGATAAGAACCCTAGACTGTGAGCAAATACTTATATCTGGGGACCCCAGTCTAGTCATCATTTACCAGTTAGAAATGTTACGATCAACAACCTAAATTGTAGTGACTGTACGAACATATAGGTTTTTAAGTTCTTTGTGAGAGCTGGGAATATGATGCCATGTAAACTTGTCTGCGCTGCAGGAGAGCTGACTACATCATGCGTGAATGTTTACTTGATGCAGCATCACTCAAGGATGAGCATGAACTATCAGCTGACGGATATAGAGAAACTGCTAAGTGGAATATTCATAAATCGATGACACATTAAACCACAGTAACCATTCTTCATATTCTAACGGGGGCAGAAAGCATGCTGTGAAAGCCAGAGGAAATAACCGATTTAAGCACAAACATTCTGGGTAATAGACCGACCGTGAGATATTAAACACTCGAGGACAGCTGTAAAGCAAGGGTCCGGAGCGACTGAAGGAAATCATCAGGTAATCTGGCCTGAAAAGCCTAAAGACACTCAATAACTTATACTGCTTCATATCACAAGGAAAACCTAGCAACCAAAGTGCATGAACCTGAAGATTTCTAAATGTACTGATGAATAATTAAGCATGGAAATTATCGAAACATTAAGTCCCGCCTTCGAAAGGCAACCAGAAACCACCTTAAATATCACTACTGTAAGTTCTGCTGAGTTGCAGAGAGAAAACTTATTCGGCATATTCCACACTTCCCCTAAAACTGTGTTAGAGGAAATGCATGAAATCATTCCAGAATAATCCTCAGTCCACGATGATATTCGGCCAACTGTGTGACAGAAATTTGTCCTGAGTAACTTCACAGCCGGACTTCGTACTTGTTCTATGAGACGAACTAATTTTTGAGATTATAGCTTGATTCCACACAGTGCCTTTTGGAAAAAGTATGGAATTTTTGGCATATTATACCGGTAGCCCAAATTATGCAGCTCAACCACTGATATCAGGTGTGCATCGGCAGGGGGTCGAACCCCGGACCATGTGCTACTGGGCGAGAGTCCTAACGCTGTGCCACCGACGCACAGTACAACTGTTGGCCATCTGACTGGCATGAACAGGTTAATGTAAATCAAGTATGGGTATTTAAGTGCGTTCAATTTCGGGCTTTTGCCGTAGATGTGAATAACATATTGGTATAATAATAATGTATATTTTCATATAAACATAAATTTACATGAAAATGCATGCCATTTTTACAGGTACGATCAAGTATGATATAATGTCAAATAGTAGATTGTCTACAAGTTAATAATGTTTCAACAGCTAAATATTTGATATATATAAATACACTCATTGTCTGACCCATGTCGTATCATTATTGAGTTAAACAGTAGTCCTCCAGGTTGCGCAGGAATATCGACTTCGTTTCGTTTTCAACCCGTGTTTGTAGGCATACGATAACCAACCAATATTGAGGTAAGTACAACGTCTACAAGGGATAGTAAGTTGTTTTAGAAAAGTAAAGGTGCTAAGGTGAATCATTAAAGTGTAATGAAATAGGTAAGTGCAATTTATCATTAATAGATGCATTCATAAAGGAAATACAATGGGAGACTATAACCCCTAGGCTGACAAAGTTCATTTGCAATGTATAATGCTACCCATATAGGTCTTACTTTCATGATGTCCACTTTTGGTATTAATACAATTGTCCACAAGCCAGTTTTTTTTATTTCGTACCTTTTCGTGTATTTGGTGCACAACCGTACCCTATAGAGAATAGGAAAGAATAAGGCGAATCAAATTCACAAAGAGCTATTAAATGTTAGGTTTAATGGAATATAATGAGCAAGTGATGACGTTGTTAGAAAATGAATGAGATGAGGCATTGTGAAGTGGTATCCAAAGATCCGACAAAGGAAAGCAAGTTAATTTATAAGATGCCCCATAAATCTGTGCAGAGCCCACGTGGTCGCATCTCAACAATAGGCTGAGCGAATGGTATATGTTTGAAGGCAGAAGCATGATCTGTCTAGGCGATCATTGTTATCTTTCTTAAGGTAAAGATTGAAGCCCTCATAAAGGTCTCTAGCCGTCAAATTGCATATTGCTGTTCCTGCAGAATGGGGCGATTCACCTTGGTGACCACCACATTGATTACATTGATTCCTCAAATGGACCAAAGTGGGAGGAAAAAAGAAGCAGCAGGTCCTCAGAACGAACCATACAACCACGAGTTTCGGAACTTAGGTTGTCAAATTAGTTGAAGAACGAACGATCAATTCATGGTTGTTCGCTCAAACCCAACTCCATATTTTGGAGGGAGTCATCGATACTGCAGTCATCGTTCTATCGTTCGCTGTTTGTTAGAAGACAGAGAAAAACTATCAGAAGTGTTATCGTGATTAATTGTTATAACATTTATCCTTAGACTTTGTGTACAATAACCTTGTGGTTGGTTCCGTATTGGTGCAAGAATATAGGATTCTTGAATCTCCAATTTGTGTTCTGGTTTTTCGCGTTGGTTATTGACAATAGTTTCTGAAAGTCTTCTAAGAACAGCGTTAAGTTCAGGGTAGTTAGACCTGGACATTGACATAGGTATTTCCATACTTGCTTACCGTAGACTTAGTGGCAACCTAATCAAGATTACGAATCCTCAAATTCACACAAACTGATTTATTCTACCGTCAAGTCACTACGGATATCCTCGTGGCAAACCATAAAAAATAGCGCATCAGAGAAGGAAAACTTGTGTGGCACAAATCTTCAACACGAGTTCCTCCTCCCTCGTCTCTGCAATTTTTCACCACAAGTAGTCGTTACTGCACTCAGGGTGCAAAGAATTAGCTGGAGGCTGCATAATCGTGCATCAGACCAACAGCTGCGTCTAAAGAGACTGCCGTCTTGACCGAACAGAGATATACGCATGGTGCACCCAACTCTACTTCAGAGACTCAAGTAAAGTCACCTCAGTCTCACATGACACACTCTGGTGACAAACCTGCCTGTTATGTCTGATAAAATACCTTCAAATACAAAAATTTATAGCTAATATTCCGTTTTACACTTTTGTGTAAACTAGCAAGTCTGTGGTTGATGTTCACTTGTTCATTAGATATATCTAACAGCGAAAAAGCATTGTTTACTGGATGACGTTTCGAACACAATTTACTGTTCATAATCATATCATATCATAACTGAAATAGTCTTCGAGATAGATCCACATCACAGTTATTGCTCCATATGCAACGGCTTGTAGGGGACAGCATAGTGGTAGAGGCTGCACTGAAACAAGGTTGGATACAAACTCCCGGAGTATATGAAACAGGCACATGGCTCATACAATCCTGACTCCTCTCTCAAACAGTCAGCGCGTATCACCGATCGGATGTTGGAGAGAAAACGACTTACGGAAGGGCAAGTGAACCATATGAGTATCAGCAAAGACCCAATAATCTTGGAACTAATGGTCAACATTAGATCAATAACGAAACAACAGGCCCAAACAAAGCTAATACAGGACCGATTAGGAGGTCCCCCAATGGGGCACATTCCAGGTCAAAGAGTAGACCTAAACAAACTAGGTGAACATGGCAATTCTATTCGTGTCACTGGAGGTTTGCCGCACAGCTAACAAAATGTACACAAAGATGCGCCTAACCTAGGCTACCCCATAAGCAGCAGGGAAACGACTGACCCCTTCTCAGACAGAGACTACTGAAAGGAGATGCCCAGACAGTCGCCTGTTCTACGTCAAGTAAGAAAACTTTTGTATAGACTTCCTGGCTGATACAAGGGCTGCACCTAGTATCAAATCAAAAGCGAAGGCCGATCTGGAATGACAAAAGTCCTCAGCCACGCCACATAAGGTCGACGGCCCCCAGATCGTGATGTTGGGACAGAAAACACTGTCGTTTCATCTGGGGTTTAAGCGGTGGCTTCTATGGGTCCTCACTGTCTCTGACTTAGACCTAGTAATCCTTGTCATAGACTTCCTCAAAAGATGACTCATAAGTGGACACTCGAAATAGACGTTTAACAATCAAAGAAACTTCTTGATATGCAAGAGGCAAACCGACAGAGTGATGGATGTAGTTCAATATCCGCCAGTATCAACTGAAAGGTTGCGGAAAATGCTGGCGGAATTCCCTCCACTAATAACAGCCAACCCTCAAACTTCTAAAGCTGGTTCGAAAATTAGTCATAGTATAAGGACAGACGCACCTACCAGTGTTCGCTAATCTAAGAAGATTGGCCCTGAAAGAGCTAACAAAAGAGGGAGCTGAATTTGACTACATGGTTCAGTTGGGGATTATTCAGCCTTCGAATGGTCAGTGGGCTTCGCCGTGATGCCCAAGAAAAATCAAACTGACTGATTGGCACTTCTGTAGTGATTACAGAGCGCAAAACAAGCGAACCGTCCTAGACAGATACTCAGTGCCACACATCCAAGACTTTGTTAGTATAGTAGTCTTTGAGATAGCACGATGTTTATTAAAACTGACTTAGTTTGCGCCTAATAAAATATTCCCGTGGCTGAGGAAGATATACCTAAAACAGCCAAAAAACCCCATTTGGATTACATAAGTCTGTGCAGTTATCATTTGATCTCCAGAATACTGCACAAACTTTCCTAAGATTTATGGATGACTTGCAGTGTGAACCGCCACTCACCAAAGCGTACATAGATGACCTGGTCGTCGTCAGCCAGGATATAAACACACTTGAGGATCACACTCAGACAGTATTACGCAAATTGGAAGACAACAGCATGAGGATCGACCAAAGTGCATAGGCGGTAGAATTCCCGGAAGCCTGTCACTGACAGTGCCGGGATCTCACCAATTCCCAAAATGGTGGATATCATCAGGCAGTATCATCTACTCACGTCGCTTATGCAACTCCG